GAACTTGGAGTGGCCTTTGAAAGCTCTACACATTGGTTCGCCTTTCCGTCTGTTCATGGTTTTGTGCTCCGAACACTTTCCATGGCCTTTCTGCACTCCCACCCTAGAAACAAAACACTCCATCTAGTCCTCTTGGTTAATAGCACACAGAATAAGCTGAATTGTTGTCATATTGACCATACTCACTATGTTCTCATATCAAGGTTCGACTAACGGCCTTTATCGGAACGCCCACAGCTTTTCTACGTAACTTGTGACCATGTCAGCACCTGGACACAACTCCAGCTCTCCCATACCAGCGAAAAAGGATTGAGCGTTATTTAATCACTGGATGGAGAAAGAAGGGCTGAGCATTTATTAAAAGACGAGACTGCAGAGCACTATTTTGTAAGCACCTGTGCGCGCGAAGCAGGAATAATTCACTACGTCTAGCGGCTGAATCGTCCCAAATTCAGAATCCAGTTTCCACAAGGTTTGATTACATGACAACTAACAGAAAAGCTCTTGATAGGGACAGCCTTTGACACCCGCAAATACAAGCTCCGGGGGCGGCTCATGAGCCGTGTTCCTAGTTCAATCGCAGTGGCCCCCTTAAATGGCGGTAAAATGTCGGAAATCGTATGTATTCCGGAGTGGGCCTGCTAGCTGAACAAGATGACAAGGCTACGACAGGGATGCGGTAACAAATATGAAGACCGTGGACACCGAATAGAGAGATGTTTTATCACCTCTACCGTTGGTCGCGCCGACCGTTCGTCTTTCACGCAGTATGGCATTCACCATCAAATATAGACGGCATGAAATCGGGATATCTTCGCTATTTTTTGCTGAAACACTGTCTGTGTTCCGAAACCAGCCTAAATATCGTGAAAAGTAGGCACACCCTAAAACTGCTTTCAATTAGCTCCCTCCAGAGAAGGATAAAAAAGTGCTACCGTAAAAAGGTGCGAATTACGCGAATTTTTATATTGGGTCTAGGTAATCGTGCGCACAGTTTTGAGAAGAGAGGTGAAGTACTTGCTTTTTCAAGACTCAAGCAGTGGTATTTTCTGTTCGATAACAAAATACCCTAGTTGAGATGGATGACCTGGAATTTATAGATTTTGCAGTATTGAACAACTTTTGGCTGACTGTGAAAACAAGTATTTAGAAAGGTAATCATAGACTAAGCTCAGTATCCGGGGTGTTTAGAATTTGTCACATGCGCATCTTTATTCAATTATGGATGTAAGTCGCAATTCCAAGATACAGGCCATTTATGCGGGCCAAGTTTTCGCACTCCTAGATAGAACAGTAAATTTTACCACCGATGTGTGCATCATTTCACCGATATGTGTGAAGTCAATACGAGAGTGGTAAGCTTCGAAAAGTGTGTTAAAAATTTATAAGGATGCGATAATTTCCAATGGTGTCAAACCAAACAAGAAATTTTTACTGCAAAAGGTCATTTAATTTAAAAAATTTGGTAACGTTCAGCGTTTTAGTGGTAGTAAACAGTCACAGAAAAAACATGATGGATTGGGCTATCCTGTCTAAAATAAAAAAGTTCTGACACAAAACGGTTTTGCGGCATACAAAAATGAACCTATTCTTAATTACATCGCAGAAGCCATATGTTGTTTCTGAGGCCCGCCAAGCACCAAATTTGCAAGGTGAAGGTGATGGAGGTTTTTTTCTATGGCTACATTTTGCAGCTGCCCCTGCGTGCTTGACAAAGTCCTTCGTTAAAACGTGCCCCAAATACACCAAATAAACTGTCACTTGGGCACCAGGTCAACAGGCAGCAGCATGTCAAATGGTAAAAACGAGTGCTCACACTTGCACCCGGTCACCGTGGCGCTGCTACACCATGATAATCGATATCACGGCCATTGTCTAAGTTTCGCATCAAGATGGAGTTCAGACGCTCAACACAGGTCCATTATATTTTCACTAGAATCATTTCCGTTATGGTCCGCTGTCTGCTGACAGTAGGGTATTAACGCATGGTCGGAAGAACATCCCCACTTACAGGAAACGCAAAGCCAAATCTTGGTCTGGATCCTCTTCTGGGAAAATAAATATAATATGGGGCAACTTGGCAGCTGGCTTCTGTGTCATTAGTTCAAAAACGAACAAAATACCTACCTCGCGGGTAACGCTGCAGGGTGACATAGTTATTAGAGTACACGGTAATTTCAGAAGTCTACATGAAACAAATCTCACACTAGCAGAACACCAAGAGTTAAAAATGGAATAAAGAAAACAGTTCCGATTGCGGGCGTCATTTACAATGAAAGCTGCGCGCAGGAGACCGCAGTGATCGACCCGTGATCAACTCTTAACTGTGGTTTTTGAATTTGTTATTTTATTATAATTATTATTAATAACATGATGCGTGCTGGCACGCAGTAAGCACAGAGGAGAAGATTTCAGAATGATTCTGTTTTATATGGAGCAAAAAGTGTTGCTTTCGTTGGAAATATAATATCACCTGAACAGTAGGCTTTTTAGCCGTGTCAAGTCAACATTGCACACGTAGTCGGTTACCGTACTGCAGGAAACAACGAAATAGTGCATTACAGCTCGAGCTTTTCCAACCAAAATACAAGCGCACAGACGTCGCTTTTACCTGATCAAAATAAGTGGCGCCTATCAGCTAAGCAGCAGCTCTCGAAAGATTCCATATAATAAAGGGCATTTTGAAGCGAAAATTATGAAAATTGTTGCCTTATAAATTGCGATCCACCTAAAAACACATTCTATAACCTAATATAGAGCCACGGAAAAAGCGTATCAAATTCTGTTGATCAGTGTGTTAGGATTCACAATTTAGAGTTTCTTCGTGAAAGTATAATGCTGGAATTCGTTTGTTGTCATTTTAACTTGTAGAAGAGCAGCGTTACCTCACAACTCTGGATAATGTCCAAGACAGCATTATGACATTATTGGGATGCCCATGAATAAATTAAAGCCCAAGATAAAGTGGTGCAGAGGGGAGAACTCGCCATCGTTTTTCACAGCGAGGGTTCTGGGGACACAGAGGGTTTATTCATTATTTTCTGAAATGTTTGAGTGATTCGGAGCCTTAAATGCTATGAACTATATTTCTCGCCGGCCTCGACGTGGCACATGCTAACCTTAAACGCCCACTGAACAGGGAACCATCAACCAACAAGACAGAGGACACGAAACAGAGTTTAAATTGGCAGAGCAGCCATCTCCCATCGACTGCAGCTAATAAGAGATCTGTTGGGAAAACATTAGGTGTCCAACAAGAGCCGCCAGCGCATGAACAAGGCAGTCCCAATCTGTACAACAAGCTGCCGAAAATACGACAAACAGCTAGCGTAGGGCACTATTTTCTGATTGCTTTTATCGGGACGTGGCTCTCACTTAAGCAAAACAACAGGTGTCTCTCTGGTCTGTTATTTCAGAGGACCCCAATCATGGAAGTGTAGATGTTTTGTACCGCTTCCATTCCCCGCTATTCACCGGACGGCCGTGTCCACCAGAGCCAATTTCCTCCATGCTTTTTCCCACATCAGTCTTGGCTAAATCTCGGCCGTTTAGGTTCAACCGAAGAAGACTTGTATGATGCAGCGGATTTGTATAACTACTTATTGACTCTCTGTGTCCACTGGGCGTGACGCTTCGAACCGAAAGCGTCGGGTAACTATGTGCTCATGGGATCCCATTTCCAAATGGTTCGAACTCCAGAATTTTCACGGATTCACGGATTGATACACAGGATCGAGGCTTTTGCCCAAGTTTCCCGGATCGGTTTTGTTCTTGTCGGTCAGTGGCTGTCGTTCACCTGAAAGGCACAGGTGAAAAAAGGGTGTAGCACTGCTCTTTATGTCCTCAGCGCGGGGCAGTATGCTC